GACCGGGGGCGCCCAGGAGGGGAGGGAGAGCCAGCCCCGGGGAGGCGGAGCGCTCGGGAGACCCGGGGGAGGGTCCGGGAAGAAGATCCAGGGGGCCGCTCCTGGGACCCAGAATTAGCAGAGTGAGGGCAGAGGGCGAGATGGAAGCCGAAGAAGGTGTGGCCCTCCTTTTAGACTTGCCCTGTTATTATTTATTTTTACTTAATTCACTGTTATTTTGACTATTATTATCTTGGCTGTCTTAGTTTCGGCAAACCGAGATTGCCACGAAATTCCAATTACAGCGTGTCCCCCTAATGAGCCTGGGTGTGTTTCGGTGTCTTGTTAGTTAAGGAGTCAGAGTTCAATCTGCTTTTCTGCCGTTGGCTAGAAGCAAACGGAAAGTTCCAGTTACTCTCAGAGGCGTTTGTCTTCAAAAGAGAAAATCAAACGTTTTTTCCGCTTTTTGTTGTTGTTGTTCTGAAAGAAAACCGTTTTTTTCCCCTGTTCTATATTGCCTCTGTTGCTCCTGAGTCAGGCTACCCGAAGGAGAAGCTCAAGGGGGAAAGTTAAGAACTAGGGAACATCACCAAAAGTCGTCTCAGCTAGCGGCCCTGAAGACAGTCGGTTTCCCAAACTGCTGTTTGCCCGGGAGTGGAGGATGGTGGGTGCACGGTGGTCTGCGCAGTCAGCAGGCTGTGGGGTCGGTTCTGACTAACTGCCCACTCCCCTGACAGATGCCAGCGAGGGCTGCACCGTGGTTGGCGGGGGCGTCCAGCCCTACCTATAGAAGGGCCGAGCACAGCAATGCAAGTAAGTGGGCACCCTGGTGCTTCCCAGACCCTCTGGAGCCTCCCAGCACCAGCTTGCTTAATGTGTTTTTCTTGCTTCTGGTCATGGGGTTAGAAGACAGAGCATTTCAATCTTGTCCAGTCTTTTCTTTCCTTAAGGGGGAAACTATCTTTTCTGTTTTATAGATTCCCTCTTTTTGGCACAAGTTCTATCACTCCTTTACCTAGGAAAAGAAAATATGTATATGTGTGTGTGTGTGTGTGTGTGTGTATTATATATATGTGCATATATATAGTACATGTATATATATATTACACACTACTGTTGTTTTCTTTTGAAACAATAGATTATTACAATCTGGGCATTCGTATGCAATTTAGAGCCATTGTTACTATGCTAGACACATACTACACACATGCTTTGATGAGCTTGGGTTACCAAAACTCGGAGTAGCAAAAACCTTTATAGATGATGTTTGCAAAATCAGACTGAAGAGACACAAGGCGTCCTAGTCTTTTATCAGCCCTTCCCAACCTCCCCTCCACCCATGTCCAAGTGGACAGGACTCTGACATTCTCCCGGGGCTCACAACAGTATCTGAAAAAATTTGTTGCTTTGCAATGAGTCAGAATTACTAAGTGTAGATCTTGAAGATAAGAAAGAGGTAGAACCACTTCAGATCAACTCGTTTTTTTAATGGTGTTGGTGTGGAACTGAAAGATTGGGGATGATTTGGTTTTTCCTTGGTCCACAGGTAGGTGTCACAATTGCTTTGAAAAAAAAAAAAAAAAAAAAAAAAGTCAGGAGGCCATTCTCTCTTCCCAAGCTCATAAATTTACAGATACAACAAACAGATGTCTAAATCCAGACCACATCTTGTGCCACTGTAAAAGAGAAGGATCCACACAGCACTCTCAACCCACAGACTCTAACAATTGGAACAGACTATTGTTGGACATACGTGAATTTGTTGGCATAGTATAGTTTCCCCTATGTATGTGTGACTTTTGAAAACAATCTGTTTTTCTCAGGATATCTTGAATTGATCACTTCATTGCCACGGTATATATTCTATAGGTGTGATAGGATTTACTGTAAAGTTTATTTGTAAAAGATGTACACAGTAGAAATAAAACGTGATTGAAGAACTTGAGTACTTCAGAAGTGGAAACAAATTTGATATTTATTTTTATAATGATATAAAGCTTCTAGTAATTTATGCAAGTTGTATTGCAATGGAATCTAAACTTTTTGTAAATAAATTCTGCCTGGTTTTTATTTGAACATTGCTGGTTATACAATCTTTGTTGGTTGTTTAACACGAATTCTTTACTAATTTATATCTTAAATTGTAAATAAAAACAGACTAGTCTACAATAATATGGTGTTTGGGGCTTATTTTTCCTAGAAGAATGATTTGGGGTGGAGCTCTAGTGATAACCTCCAGGTGATCTGACCTCACCTTTTTAATGAAAAGCTGTGTGAAATAAACTCTCCTTTCTGATAATTAAAAAAAAAAAAAAAAAAAAAATCAGATGGAAGAGAAGTATACAATTGGGAGAAACATGTGCTCTAGATGATTTCTATATATGTATTGAAAAAAAAAAAAGATGTTTGTGCCCTGAGTATGCTAATTACTTGTTAGTGTAAATTTTTAAAACTTGGCAAAATAAAATGATCTGACACCCTATGCATTTTATATTTATTTCTGATGCTGGCTTCTTGAACCTCCTTAGTAAACCAAACTGGAGAATAATATTGATAATGGAGAGTTACACACCCCCCCCACCAATAAATTACTGATGGAAATAATTGTTTTTTTAAAGCCTGAATTATCCAAATTGGCCTAATTATTCAAATTTATGGAAGGATTTCTTAACTCTCCTTTTCCTATAATGCACATTAAACCTAGGGTGAGGATCTGGGGGAGGGACTTACTTTCCTTTCAGTGGCTCTTACTCTTACCCTGGGGGAAGAGAAATCTTTAAACGACCTTAAACTACTGCCTCTTTATTGTGTTACTCACTTTCTAATTATAGGACAAGTCTAAAATTTGTAGTCAAGTAACATATTCCCTTTGATTAGTATCATAAAAGTAGCAAGCCTGTCACTTTAATTTTCAGCAAAATTATATGGATATCCATATAATATAATTTCAGAGAAGAAATGAACAATCATTTATTTCCTCTCAAAAGATAAATTGAGTGAATATAACTTACGGTTATAAAACAAGAATAATAGCTTCTTAGATTGCCCTTTAATCAATCATACACTTATTTTTCAAGAGGTTCATCTATTTTATTCCATGATTAATAATGTTGCAGCATGAGAGCATTATTGGATCCCAGCGGGGGAGGTCTGGGATGCTTTTAGCTGCTTTGGAATGGTCAGTTGGGGTTCATTATGGGCTGATATTGAACAATTTATAAAATCTTGTCTAAACATCTGCCAGCTCCGATAGGCCAATGTGTCTGAGGATGGGAAATTGCTGGACCAGTTGATATTGACAAACGGATCTCTCTCTAGTGGCTTTTTTTGCCATAGAAATTAGTGGCCTCTTGCTGGGGTCTTGTTAGAAAGGGTATTTGAAAGTAATCTTAGATACTTGAGGCCAAGCCAGGGGACTGTTAACTGGACACAGAGTCATACTGATGGGGAGGAGTGATTGGTTTGACTGTGGAGAAGCGGGGCAGAACCAGGTTTTTGTTTTCTGTTGTTTCTTATGCATTTTGTTGATTTTAAATACTTAACTATTTGGAGGTCAGACATAAAGTAAATCTCTGGGGTGGAGAACTATTTTTCTGTCTTCTCTGCCTCTCCTAGTAATAGATATGAACATGTTTGGAGCTGAGCTATCTACTGGTGGGAGGAAAGATTTTTCGCTAGGGAAGCGTTGCCACTCTGTGGCAGTGTATCTGGAAACAAACAAATCTGAGGTCTGGAGAGGTAAAAGGGGGATTGAGTATGTTTGCTTGTTTTGGTTTTAGAAATAAAACCTTCGTAGACCTTTCATAGAGATAATGATTTTCCCCTTCAGGAAGCATTTCAGATTGTAGTCTGAAGGTCTTACGTAGTTTACTTTTATTAATATTACCCATATTTCCTAAATTAGCAGGAAATAAATTGCCCATGGCCGCAATGTCTCTGCTCTATGTACTGTTATAACTAGAGTAATTGGAAGACTTCTGTGGAAAGTATGAAAGTTAACAATATTTAACAAAATAAACACGGAAAGATCATGCACTCTAATGAAGATACAACATTTAAGGCAGTACATTTCTTAAGTGTGGGAGTGGAGAAGCCAAGCCAAAATTAACCTTTGTGCTTATGTTCAGGCATTGGAGCAGGGGTAAAAGCCGCCTCGCTTTGGAACAAGGAAGATTGTTTTACCTGAATATGCGATCCCTTTTCCCTTTCAACACACACACACACACACACACACACACACACACACACACACACGACTCCATTCTCTGGGAGGACATGCACATTTCAATTGGTGAAAACTCAAAGCAGCTCAGGAGATTAGCTAAGGCTAAGGAAGCTTCTTTGATGTTTATATGCCCAACAAATTATTAAAGATTTCCATAACTTACCCACTCTGTCTCCTGACCTGAATTTCCTTCTAGAGAACTTGATTTCTAAAATATACACTAAGAACATAAAACCTGCAGGTGTTTAGAGGGATCTTTTAAATGTAGAGTGATTTATGAGCTCCTCTCTATGCTGGTCATTGGGAAAGATGAATGAGGAAGGAAGGAGAGAGAAAAAGAGGTATCTTTCACTGGAGAGGGAAGCTAATGGGGTCTGAATTTTATTTTTGCTTTAAAAATTTCATAGTCAGAAATTACCTAGCCCTCCAAGATACACGTTTGCTGTTGTTGACTGAGGCCGGGGAGACGCCAGCAAAACGGGGCAACCAGGAGCAGATGGGCTTTGGGGCGGCAGCCTTGGCTTTGCTGCGGGTGCAGGCCTGGGCGCGCTCCCGGCTCCGCGGCCCGGCGCCCGCGTGGTGGATCCGCGACAGCCCCCTTCTGCTCTCCGCGGCCCAGGGTTTCCTTAGAGCTGATTTATCGGAATTCGCGCTTTAATCTCAGGTGGGCCCCGGGGGCCGGGCGCTGCCGAGAGCACCGGGGCGCTTGCCCGGCGGCCGGCGCGGGCGCTGCCTCCCGCGCCCGTCAAATGTCAACATTTGTTCCCAATAAAAGAGTTATTGTTTCTGCAAAGCTGCCCAGCAACTGCCTTTGAAACTTGAAAAGAACTTCATCCACCTTTGTCTGATGCGAGGAAGGAGGGGCAGGGATCGGAGAAAGAGGAAGGGGGCTGGGTACTGGGGGCCTACGGGGGCAGCCTTGGGCCTGGGCTCAGGGTAGCCCGCCAGGGGTGCGCCTCCCCAGAACCCCATCGCCGGGCCGCCGCGGATCTCATTCTGGAGATGGGAGAGTGGCGGGGGAGGGCTCGGGGTTCCCTCGAGGCTCTCTTTAACTTACGTGTTTATTAGATCTCTGCGGACTCTGAGAGGCGCGAACCACTGCGAAGAAACACAGAGATGAAATAGCCACCTCCGAAGCCCGTGCGCGTTTTCGGATCATTTACAGTTGCATTTAAATACTTATCGAGGCCGCTAAAAGTACAGTGGACCCTTTGTTTTTTTTAACTACGCAGTAAATGTACATCCTAAACTATCACTGTTAGAGCCCAATTTAACAGACATGAATTTAGAAAAAATTATTCCAAACCAATTTGTGGTCCCCTCAGAGGCATTTTCAAAGTTCAATAACACTCTGAACCGAATTATGAGAAAGTTTCATCCAAGTAACAGTAACCAATAATTATCACTATATAATTTTTATTTAGTTGCCCAGTGCCTGGAGAATCCCAAGGAAAATACTCATTTAGATTCAAAATTAAAATATAAATCGATCTGTTAAATATGTGTTTTAAACTGCTTTTACAAAAATAACATTTTAACTATTTTTTTGAAAGCGTTAACCCAAGAGGCTATCTTGGGAACAGCACACAACCGTCTGTGCTATGTGGTTATTATCATTAACATCATTTGAATTTCTACAAATCGCAAGGGGAACATGTCCCTTTGATGTATTTTCAAACCTTTATGCAAGTGACAAATCCCTACAGATATTTTAAAGGCTAATTATAAGGAGAAGTAATCTATGACAATATAATTTTCCAGTTGCTGAAAATTACTTTCTATTGGCCATAATGAAAGCACTCACCAGCCCTCCCCTTTGCTTGGGCTAGGAGGCTATAAATCTGGTTTTCAACAATATGCACTTGGACCTCAACCATTGATGGGTGGAAGAGAAAGCACTTTGAGCCCCAGTTTTAGGAAGGGCACACCCTACTTGTATGCGGCAGCCTCTCCCTTCAACTGCATCCCTGGAAACAGATGGATTTGGCCTCAACCGGCACCTCTGTCCCCTCCACCCTTAGAATAGAGAATAGTCTTGTGTTTCCTACCGTGAAGGCAGAGTGTTCTCTTTCTTTCTAAGAAATACAATAATTGAAGACACAATTTAGGAGGACTATATTGCTAATACAAGGAAGAAAGGAAGTATCTGTTGTTTGTATTTGCACAATCCAAGAGAAAAGGAAAGAGGAAGAATGTTTTTTTGTTTGTTTAACTCTGGCCCCGTGATAATAAAGAAAAGTATTTTTAAAAGGTGTTCTAATGTCACTTTGTTCTATATGGAGCTGAAAATAAATGAAATCTAATATTCTTTAAGAATTGACTGTGAGGTTTGGGGCTGCCTCCAGTACAGACTCCATATTCACAGAAAATACCCAGAGGGAAGAAACAAAACACAATCCTACACAAGCACTGGCATTTTTGTGGGGAGATAAATTGACAATTTATTGCGTGTGACTCCTGATCAATTATTAATCGTTAGTGTCAACAACACGGTTATAATTACCTTGGGTTATTTTAGGGAATTTTTTTTTCATTTCTCTGATCTGGTAATTAGTTAATGCTCTTGAGTAATAAATTCAAAGAAGAGCTCATAAGACTAAAGACTCACCTAAACCTCCCTTAAAGGAAAAATACATTCACCCAGTGGTTCTCAGAAATTCCCTTCTTGCCTCCATTCTAACAGTGGGCTTTTTTTTCCCCCCTGCTATAAATAATGATTCCAGAGGAAAAGGGGAAAATGACAAACAAATAGAGCACAGCTGGAATTAATAAGGCTGATCAAAGTTAGTGGGACTGAGACTGCTGGCAGCAGCCACAGGTCTGAGGCCCATAAAGGTGCCAGGAGTTCTTGCCTCTTCCCTCTAAGATCAAGAAAAAGGGCAAATCGAACGGTTTAACCCTTGACATCTTCTTACTGGGGAAAGGTGGGCTTCGGGGAGGACTTTGTTTTTAGGCCTTACTAATAGCTGCGTTGCGGTCCGGCTCGGCCTGAGACCAGGAAGGGCGCTGCGTGTTCGCCCAGTGCGGGTGCGGGTCCCGCGTGCACCCGGCTCTGCACCCAGCAAGGTGGGGCAGGACGCGGGTCCTCCTGGACCCTGAAAGGTTAGGAGGTGAGTGACCAGATTAGGTGGGGTCAAGGCAGCGTCCTGGGGAGTCCGGGTCTGCCCGCCTGGTGCTCAGTAAGCTCGGAGGGGGCAAGGAGGTCTCAACTCCCAGACAGGCTCCTCAGTGCGCTCAAGGGGGACGGTGCACTGTCG